AGTCATGAATTCAAACTGGAGTGGGAATTCCCTGTCGGAAAGTGAGAGAGTTCTCAACAGTGAGTAAAACTCTTGTACTAATACTTTTAATAGTATTTTTGTATTGTCTATTTCACATTCAGTCAGTCGAACACGTAGTGCTTTTCATTGTTTCTAAGAAGACGTGTTAAAATGCTGTTTCTATGCAGAAAATACCACATAGAGCTCAGTTATTGTTGGTTAGCGTTAACATGGCAATGAGACGAGAAACGTGACCTATTTAGTCGAAACGTTGAAGTTAATTACAACAATAATGTTCATGTGGCCTTTGGTGAAAATGAGTTTGACATTGCTCTTTTACATGCAGGTCCTCAAGGATCAGGATTGAAGACCACCGCCTTAGAAGTGGACAGGTAAAGCATAGAGATAGAGCTAAGTGGGAAAAGTGTTGACTAAAATGGGACTCACCTCAATTTGAGGCCACATTTATGTCACTCCAGATATTCTTAAAAACTGATGTTTTCTGCTGTGTTTTTACCTGTTTGTAGTATCCCCTCTACCACTTTGTACCCTAAAAATCAAAGAAACAATAGAGCTGGTTTTACTGTCTGTCCGTTAGTTAAACTTTGCAGAAATGGTTAATAAGAGAGGTGGCAAAGAAGAAAAGTTTTTAGGACAGTTCTGTCTTTGCATTTTGGTGTTTTATCGTGAACATACTTGTATTTCAGCTTTCACCTCATAGTTCTGCAGCACCCTTACTCTCTCGTTATCCCTTTTTCTTTTTTTACTTCTTTTCTGAATTCATGATCACACCAGCCCACTCAGGATCTTTATCAGCCGAGTGTAAGCATATGTTGTTTCCCGGCTCTTGGTGGAACAACTCATGGCGTCGGCTCTCTCGGGAGGAAAGTCTCAGATGGACGACGTCGTGCTAATCTGTGCTTAAGAACCAGTACTCTGTGCCAGAGATGAAATAGCTGTTACAGTATTTACACAGATTAATTAGTAAAATATCACTTTAACCTCCGCTTGGCCTAAAAATGTCAGTGAGGGGACTGATTATCAATATATACAAAATGGATCAAACTAAGTCATGAAATTTGTACAGATAGATAGATAGATAGATAGATAGATAGATAGATAGATAGATAGATAGATAGATAGATAGATAGATAGATAGATAGATAGATAGATAGATAGATGAGGAGGTAGTAAATGAGTGTTTTTTATGTTTATTTCATTATTAACACATAATCAGCATCATCAATCACTCTGACAGCCACCTATTGTCAGACTGGCTGTCATACTGCTCCGCTGTCGGAGTGTGTATGTGTGAATTAACAAAAGAAGGATAACTAAAAGAAGAGATAATGACTTTATTTCACGCAATTTCAAAAAGGTGTGTAAAATCAATAGTCCTTGACTCGAGGCGAAGGACTGAAGATCCAGTGGAAGGAGACGTGTCAAGGGAGCAAAGGAATTAAGGAGAGTCAGGAGGAAATATGCAGAAAATAAATTAAAGTGCATCGCATAATAATGTAAACATCTCAAACACACATTAGCTGTAAGTTACAGCTGAACTTTCAGACGCTAATAAAAACACTTTGAGGTTTTGTCCAATAATATTAATTTTTTGCCATTTTCTAGATCAGGAGTCTCCAACCAGTAGCTCGTGAGCTACCGTTAACTCATTAGCTCATTTAAATTAGCTCTTCAGTGCTTATGAAAAATTAAGAGTAGCAAAATTTAGTTTGTAACTGGCCAAACAAGCTTTCATTTATATCCAATCAATCCGTAGGTGTTCCTCCCCCTTGGTTGTCAATCAAACAATCTGGGGCTCAGTATGGTTGAACGGCAGCCAAGCAGACGATGCACAGTCACATGGTTGTTCAGTGTTTGTTTTCACACGCACTTTTCTTGAGACACACCTTGCCGAGATCCAGGGAGGTCCCTCCTGCTGCAGCATACGTCACTGCATGGGGTTGCTTCTCGCTGGAGCCCACAATGGGGGAAAAAATGACCCGTCACCCGACATTTGTGCACAAATCTGTCCTGGTTAAACCCTGAGTTCGTAGTGTGAAATATACCATAGTATGAATGGATAAACACAAAAAGCGCATTCATGTAAATTCAGTGTTCTTTGTGATGGTTTCATGTGAGTTGATGACACTGTTTTTTGTGTGTGTTCAAGCAAAACAAGCTTATTCCAATGGTTTGAGTTAAAGTTTAAAATTAAATGTCGCAAAAAGTAGCTCTTGGACAATTTGATTTCGTGAAAGTAGCTCTTATGGAGAAAAAGGTTGGAGACCCCTGTTCTAGATACTATTCAAAAACTTTCTACTGTAATGTATTCATGTATAGAGAAGCCCACCACTGATCCGTCTACAGTCAAACCCTTATCTGTGGTTATGAGATTCGGATCAGGACCAAAACAACAAGATCCCAGATACAAGCAGCCAGGCTCATGGTGGCCAGGCTCAGGGTGAGAACTCATGGAGTCCTTCCACACTCTGAAGTGGTTCTGATCAACATGCCTACTAGGTGCCTCATTTAGAAGGCTGTTTGGAGGGAGGGGGGTCCCACTGAGAAGAGACCCACAATCTGGGAGGACTGTGTATCCTCTCTGGCCTGGGAACGCCTTGAGTTCTCTCAAAAGGAGTTGGTGAGTGTCACCAAGAATATCTGGGTTTCCTTTCTGGATCTTCCATCATGGATCGGATTGCCTCCAAAAACAGAAACTGAATGGATTCATATAAAATGACCCAGAATGATCCAATCTCAATGCAATCAAACATTTAAGTGCCCTTGTTTTTCAAGGCCCCCTTATTATTGTGGAGTAATGCAAGTGTTTGAAGACTTAAAGTGGACATAAGATTTTAAATCCTTCCTTGAGGTTATATAAAATGGAACTGCAACAATTTGGTTTGAATTCCTGGTTCCTGTAGCTCCACAGGCCCCTCTTTCACCCCCGTTCTGAGGTGCGGTACCAACTCCACCCCATTTGGCCATTTTTCTAGTTTGATAGCATAGGTACGATTGTCTAACGGCATAGACTTTTTATTTACAAATTGATTAAAAGATGTCATGAACACAGGACTTGTCCATCCAGCCTTACATGTTGGACCAAGAGCAAGAGGATGAAGATGACAAACCTGCAGAACTGCAGATTCGCAAAATTGGTTAGCCAGAAGTCTATGACCACATTTAGCAGTTCCATTTCCAAAACTGTGACGTTATTGTTCAAAAAACATAACAGGGAACAGGAAAAAACTGACAAATATGTCATAAAAAAAACAAATGGATTTATTTTAAAGAGTTGAAAAATGGATTTTGCATAATATAGCCCATTTAATCCTAGAGTCAGAAGTAATAAAAGGCATTAATTCAAAGATGTATCTCTTTAGCTTCCTTTTTCTACAGCACACATCTAAAAGAGTGGTTAAAAGAGAGATTTAATGTTTTTTCCACAAAGTTTACAAATATGAAGTTTCAGTTTAAGGAGAAAAAAGCTATTTGTTTGAAGATCGTGCTCTTTGAGTTCAGCATTTACCTTGTTGGTGAATGGATTTAAGAGACTGGTCACAAAATAAAAAGGCAAGGAAGAAACATACCTTCAGTGGAAAAAAAATCAAAACCAGAGCTTGTTTGTTACGAGGGTGGGGGTGTGGGTCCCCAGGTTCGGGCTACTGTTTTCATTTCCTCAAAAGTAAATAATTAAATCAACAGAAACTCAACGGGGAATGGGTGGGGGGGGGGGGGCATGGAAAAAAAATGAAAGCATCTGGACCAAGGCTCGGGTTTCAAATTTGACTCGGAGAACCTTATTGATCCGATTGCCAAACGGAATTACGGAAAGATCTTTGAAGAGAAGTTTCACCGTGGTAATCCTAAGCCCCTATAATCCATCATATCTGGGAATCAAATTAACATATATTTACATGAACACACACACGCGCACGTAATTCCTCCGTTTCTTTCTAAGACACACAAACACAGAGGCCAAATCATTAGTTGTAGGTTAATTAGTGTTATAATTAATAACCCAGTAGACACACACGTGTGTGTATGTGTGTGTAACGAGAGGTCGGGTGTTAAATCATATTAATTTCAACATTGATTAAGCAATAAAAAAGACTTTTAACTAGCGGGGGTGTATCTCACTTCACTACACCGACATCGCAGTTTAAATCTATGTATTAATTAAAACGTGTGTGTGTGTGTGTGTGTGTGTGTGTGTGTGTGTGTGTGTGTG